TCTTAACACGAAAATCACCCCACAACATTTTAATGTTTTTTCTCAGATATTTTATGGTCTCCGGTGGGATAACTCGTCAAAGTAAAACCCCGAGTCACAAATTGGTAACTTTTGGGGCCGAAGGCCTATTTACGACCGTGCCTTTTGCCTGACTACGGTGTCAGCGCCGCAGGCCTAGGTAGATGTATGCCAGGCGCGTCGCAGCGTAACAGTGTTTCGTGAGATATCGCAAAGCCTGTTACGCGAGACGTGGTCTGGCGTACATTTACCTAGTTTATTTATGGGCAGGAAGCAGTGAAGCAAGTGCCACAAGAACAAGAAGGAACGTCAAATCGGTCTACATGCGTTCATAGTCCCGACCTCTCAATAGAACAGGGCGCTCTGCTGAACCTTGTTCTTGTAAGTTTTCAGTCTTGTTGCCTTCTCAGCATTCTATTGTCCATAATACAATGGAATTTTATTATTTCACTCTATTGAAGGTTGTGCAAGCACATCACATAGGGACATGCAGCCACCACACAAAGTCTCCAACACAGATTATCCTTTCCCCTTCTAGACTTTTGTTTCTACTCTTGTTTTTACTCCCATACCCTTATTAATACTTCAAGCTTCATTAGTGAGAGGTAAATTGTTGATTGCAAATGAAAACACTAACCTTGTTATATCAATATTAATGCCTTTGTTTACAGGTAAAGTCCCTGTAATTGTTAATTCTCCTCGTGCATCTGAGGTACGCTCTGCCCCTACTCGGTCCATCCTTGGTCTACATACTAATAATCAGAACTTTGGTAAGATCTCTGCTGCTTTTTACTTTAGAATCTGATTTGTTGCTCTTATAATGTTAAGCATGTAACAACTATAATGTTATGTTTTGGTCCTAGATCGCTTTGGTCTAAGAGATATTTCAAATACTAACTCTGCTGAGCAACGATCCACTGCGCAAATAGTCACTCCACCTCAGGTAGACTCCAACACAGAAAATCCAGTGGTGTCTGTCATCAAGTCTATGTTCACTTCGTCACAAACTCAACCTGAGAAGCCCTCAAGACAAGTCACTTAAACACAGCTTTTGACTAGTTCAGAATTTGTATCTGAACTTCAAGCAAAAAAGGAAGTCAAGAGGAAGAAAGAAGAAGGAAAGCTAGAAAGATTAAGACAGAGAGAGCTGAAGAAGAAAGAAAGAGAGATGATTGCAGCAAGGACAAAAATAAAAATAATAAAAACAAGAAGAGGAAAAGGAAAGCTGACTCAGAATCAGAGGACTCCATTGACATGGATGACCCAGAGGCTGTCGTGTCAAATTCTGAAAAAGAGGAAGGAGAGGAAGAAGAATTATGTGGTGTGTGGCGACTGTCAAGAGCACAGAAGACGCCAGAAAAGAAGCAGACGTCAACGTGATGCCACCACGCGTTGCCGAGTGTTTTTTAGTGAAATTCAGGTGTCGCCAATTGCTCAGAGACATCAGAGGAGCGAAAATTCTGCAAGGCTGGAGGCGCTGACCTATTTAGAGGACCCTGACACCTCCTATCAGATGCTCCACAAATATAAAATTGTAAAGCGAGTTTTTCTCAAATATAATGTAAGCTTGCCTTCCTCTGCTCCAGTTGAGCGGGTCTTCAGCGTGGGGGGTCAGATTTAACTCCCCGGAGAGGGCGTCTGGGCGACGACAATTTCGAACGTCAGCTGCTTTTAAAAACAAACAACTATTATGCTGTAATAATGTAGCCACTTCTAGATTAAACTGTATCTGATTCTGATTATATTGTATCCCTGACAATTGCCAATGAAAGTATTCTGTTGACTATTAAATTTTTCCTCCTGTTTTTTACTCGTTCTTTACCAACCCACTTTCCCTTTTCGTTGGTAGGAAGAACGAGTATTGTTCTCAGTGCTGTGTAACCCTTTTCCCGTTCCTGTTTCCATCTCAGAACACACAACACCTACAGACATGACAATAGTACCACTGTATAGCGGGAACGCTGGTCTCAATTAAAGCAATGAACCTTTTTTCAGTTTTCAATAGTATAATTTTGAGCACTCTTAACAAATTTTGCGTGTTTTCATTCTAAGTCCCAGACCAGAGCTTATTTTGAGCGTGTTGAAAAACATAGTTAAGCAACGAAAATGGATGATGCATGCATCTTTGAACTTATGAGATTTTAATGAAACTGTTTTATTAACATGTTTAGAGTCGCTACCGAAGCATTTTAATGAGTTTACTTAACAGATCCTCCTAAAAACTTGCAAGTCCTGGCTGTGACGGTGGAGGAGTGCGTGAGGTTATGGCGGCGCCATCCGTGCTACCATCTGTGGGCGGACATAGTAACTACTTCACAGTGAGCGCGCGGGCGTTTTAAATGTATCTCTTATCCCCACGGAAAACCCTCCATCACCCTATACACACACTTCCATTACTCTGAGATAAAAGCAGGAACTGATTTTGAAGAACTACCGTGGTTTGGTTAAGAACGAGTTTCCTACTTAGCACAAAATTCATTTTGTGTTCATAGTTTCCCTTGTTTATATTTTTTCCTGACATTTTTGATCGAGTATCTAATAAAGTATCTGAGATACTTTGTACAGTACCTTTATCTTTATCTAGATACTTTTACGACGCATTATCTTTATCTTATCTGTAGATACAAATTCGACCAGTAGCTAGTATCTTTATCTAGATACATTTAGGGAGCATCTTGCACAACACTGTGTAGCATGTAGCACAATACCAGTTCTAGTTGTTACTCAGATGTAAGAGCACAATGTAAAAATCAATGATCATATTCTTTGGGTAGTGGAAAGAATTAACACTAGCAAGTATGTAGAACAAAATTATTTAATTATTATGATAAGGAAGTTCAAGTTGCCAAAAGTATGATCTAACAACCAATACTGGGAATTTTCAGTGAAATAATCAATGACTTAGATTAGTTCATTTTCAGTAAATCATTACCTTGAATGGTTTCATCAGAAGGTGAGGTCGAATTGTCAGATTCAATTCCCTTGTTTGAATCATCTTTAAGCCGGTCATCCTTCTGCTCCTCTAACACTGCTGTCTTTCTCCAGTTCATCATCATGTACGGATTCCATCAGTGAAGTATCGGGGCTTAGAATGATTTTACCCACGTCTTGCCACTTCTTGTGTGCGTCCAGTAGTTCTGCAGCTGTTGAAACTAAAATTGCCATCACGATCATTTTAATCATAACATATTTCACTACAAAAATCAAAAACTTATGCAAAATATGAATTTACTCAGTACTTACAATGTGGAGCCAGATCAATCTTAAAACTTTCATCCAAGGCAACATCTGTACACACATGCAGACGGCAGGTTGCCTAGTTGACAGGCGGAATTGCCGCAAAACGTGTTTTTT